GGGCGGGGGGGGGGAGAATGGCAACACTGGCAGTCCATGATAGTTGCCTCTCTTTCCTCCTGTTGCCATGGTCCCTTTTGTCTGGCCAAAAGTACCTCTTCTTCCTTAAAAACAAAATTTGTCATAAGAGTATTCAAGATATAGAAAGAAGAGTCGAAAGTTTCATCCAGTGTAAAACACTTACTGCTTGTTTAAATTTGCTATTCAGGTACTGGGAAAGGTTACTGTGACAGGGAGTTATGTACTTTCTTGGCCTGTTCACTCTATCTACTTTGCAGTAGAGAAGTCCTGCTTTGAATCTTAGTGACAAAGATAATGCCAGAATGTAAAAAAGCTCAGAAGCAGAAAAAAAATAAAAAAAATCTCTATTAGCCAATGCTCTTCTCAGTCAGCAGAAATTCAGGCATGCCTTCAAATGACCTTTGACCATTGTCTCTGACCCTTATTTTATCTAAGATAGAACAAGTCTTATACGAAGCCTCCTTTTACATGCCCATCTTCTACCATTGATTCTGGTCTGTGAATGACATGTAGCCTTTCTACTGACTGGTTACAGAACTAATCATACCCCTCAATAACAGTAAAAAATGTAAGGAGAGAGAAATACCTTTGTAAACTGCAGACATTTTTTTAAATTTCTTTTTTTCCTGAAAGTTTATCATAAAAGTAAACCATGAAGTACACACGGTGTATATAAAGAGCAGCCGATTTGGATGCAGGGCAGTTAGTATCAGTGTATGTTAACACTACAGCAGAAAGATACTGGAGCACGCCATTACTGTGGTTAAGCCGCCTGCATTCAGACAATTAGGCTTATAGAACAATTTTAACACCTTGAATGGAGTGCACCCCAAATCTCCCCAGTTATTAATGCTAGGTGACCTCTTCTTATTAACCAAGAATAGTAGAGGGGAAAGGGCAAAGATGACAGAAAAGAAGTCAATGGACAAAAAAGCAAGACAGAAAAAAGGTGAAAATGTTAACCTTTTGAATATCCACAGGACTCACTACAGAAGCACCAACAGAGCGAGCTTCCTGCAAAGGTAGAAAAAAAGATCAAGAGGCAGAAAGAAGACCAAGAGGCATCCATGACAGTTTCTCAGAGTTTTTGTCAGGAGAATGTACTTTATGTGGTAACATAACCAAACAAATGCTACACGTTTCCGAATAGTAACTCTGGCATCTGAACAATGGAGAACGTGTACCTGGCCTTTCAAGCAGACTTTCTGTTGTGTTTTTTGTCTGCATCCAAAAAGTACAGATTACACACATAAAGAGAAGATGGTTTCAAGATAGTAGATGTATTTTTGCCTTGAGAGACTTAAAGGTCAGGACAGAATAGGATAAACGGAAGAGTTTAAAGCAGAGAGCACACATTTGAGAACTCTCAGCCTTATTCAGTATGGAAAAGCTGAGCAACAGGCATGTGATCCTCCAGTTTACTTCACTGATATATAACATATGACTTCTGTAATCAAAACCATCCTATCTTATGTATATTTATTGTCTTATATAGAACTTTTTAAAAGAGAATCACAGCCTCTGAAAAAGAAAAATTGAAAGAAATTTTTTATTTTCCTATGGAATTATAGAGTTATGTGGCACCTGTATAGCAGGCTCCTCTTCTGGTTCCTGTATATTGAAGACAGTTGCAGCACTGTCTGCTCCCAGCAATCGACGAGCCATTTTCTCCTCATAAGTTAATCTCTGGGGAAAAAAAAAAAGGGGGGGTGGAGGATGAGGATGAGGGAAAAGAAGAAAGAAAAGTTCTTATTTCTCATTAAGAACTACAAGGCAGTTAGTAAGCAGTGCTTTAAGTAACGTTAATAAAAGAGAACAGCAATATGTTTCTAACAGGAATTTTCTACCACAGTTTGTAATGCATTTTTTTTGCATTACAAATGGCTCTTCTGGCTTAAGCAACCCTTGCCCTGACTCTGCCATTTGTTTCCATCCTCTTGCCAGAAACTTGGGCAGGAATGAGCAATAGGAACTGCTTAAATCAGCATGGCCATCAAAAAAGTGCATGTCAAATCATCCCAAACCTTACTCCTAGTCATTCTGCTCAATTTTTACATTAGAACCACGTGGCAGAAAACCCTGCCAAAAATGCTAAGGAGATACTACACTACTTGATTATTTTGTCAAAAATATGACAGCTTTATAGAAAAATATATTCTTTAAGGTTTTTTATTTCTATTCTTCTTGTTCTTTTGGAAATTAAGGAGACAACTTATAAAAGACAATTTACACTCAGATGGTAAAGCAAGTTAAAAGAAAAGTGTACAATTCAATTATTTCATTATTAATTTTCCTTTGACATTCAATAACACGTTTCAGGCACTTAGACACTTTCTTACAAGTCAACATTGCAAAAAAATGCCAGTGAATGAAAGGCAAACTCATTACATGGTGAAATGCCTCATTTAAACAGAAAAATGAATGGAAATTGTAAAACATTACATCCACTTAATGCTTCCATTTTTTAAAAAGCTCATTTAAATTAATTTTTAAAATATGTCATATTGTAGCTAAACCAGCAGGCTGAGACTCATGAAAACTAAGTACCGATCTTGGCTTGGTTACAAATGTCTAAGCAAGTCATGAACTTTTCTTTGCTTTAATTTCTTCTGTGATGACTCCAAGTGCCCACAGCCATGATTACACAAACAGAATCACTCAAGACAGGATCTGCAAGGCAAAAGCCTCAAGGCAAGCACAAACCCAGAGTTCACTTGGTTCAAGCTCCCATATCATCTGATCACAGTTGGGTTTGGTTTTTTTTTTTCCTTGGGCCATGTGGGCTTTCTCAGGACATTCCATTCATTTATCCAGGCCAAACGTCTCTCAATTTCCAAAGCTCAGCCCACCTCCTTTGAAAAAATGGCAACTTATACACTATGGGAGTGATTCTGCTTAACTGCTATGGGAAACTGCCAAACCCTATGCAGTCAATGGGGAAAGGTAAGTACAGCAGCACTCCTTGCTCTGAACATTCTCCCTACTTCACTCCATTGTCCTTATTGAGAACCAGAATCCAGCAGCTGTGGAGTAGATAGTCTGACTCGTGGGCTGTCTTGAACTAAACCACCATAGTCCACATCTCAGACACAGTAGCAAACAGCAAACTTCCGAGCATGGTCCTGAGAAACCTAAAGCACAATACCTTTCAGTGACACAAAGGTCTCCCAAGGCATTCAGATGCTTTTGAAGACACTTCATTGACAAACAGGGGTGACAGTCTACATTTTTAAAATTACTTTCCTCTTAGAAGAGATTCCTGCTTCAAAGACATTTAAATCAATGCTTTAATAACTGTAATCAAGTCTTAGGAGAGTTGCTTCTCATCAACTCTGAGTGGGAAGAATTTGGTATTTTATCTTTTATGCATATGCTAAAATGCACAAAAATTAATGGAGAACTTTGCGGCTGTGCATTTCAATTGTTTGATACACTTGCCCATTTTACCTCATTTCTTGACTCCTCAAGCAGACCGTTAATTCTTGATAAAGTCTGTAAGTTAGTACTACAGGTTGTTTTTTATTCTATTGGTCAAAAAAGTCCTACAGCTGCAGGATCTAATGATGCCTGATTCCTAATGTGTTTGTTTCTCACAATGAACTGCCCTGTCCCCCTCCAATGTCCACTTACCACCTATTCCTTCCCCCATTGCCCGACAGCTGGGCAAAAGGTAGAATGAGCCTGGACTGATCAAGAGCTATGCATATGCTTACTGGCCAGCCACCCAGTGATGAACAGTCAAAAGCAAACGGCCTCTGAGGCTGAAAAAGCCCTTGATGTACAGGTTGTGCAGGCTTCTTAGGCGAATTCATCATCTTTGAGCCCTCCATTGCTTTGCTAAGTCCAAGTAAAGTTGCCCAACAGGAGAAGGAACAATAGGCCAAAATGTATACTATCATTCCTTATGGAAATGCAGCCTTGGACATGCAATTTAAAATAACAAATACATAAAATATAAAAATAATCTACCCACAATTATTTTATATGCAGCATATCTGAGAAACTACCCTTCATGCCCACTCCCATTCTCCAGGGTATTTTATGTTTTTATACCGGTTGCCCATTGTTCAAAAGGTCTTCCTTGAAGCGAAGTTTTCTTTCCAGATCCTGAATTACAGCATCTTTTGACCCTTGAATCTCTTCATCTGATGCTATCCTAGCAGTTCTGCCTGTTTTCTTGGGAAATCCCCTGCAAAACAGTACAGGAAAATTCATGAGCTTTCCTGAAATCATTGTTATTCAGAAATTTATCTGGAATCACTGCTATTAGCGACGAAAACAACATTGTGTCTTTGAAATTAGAGGTCTGGCACCTTACTTACTATGCTGTCCCTTCTAACTCACATCACTGATTAAATGGTTAGTTTAAGGACAAAAGTTGAAACTATGCTTTATTCATGCATTTGTTAAAATAGGGCTCAGGATTGCGTAGTGGTGGCTGTAAACGCCATACACTTAAAGAGGAAACTGATGAGCGATGGCAATAAAGCAAAGTGAGAGGAAACATGAAAGAGAAAGCATGACTAGATAAGTGGGGATGGAAGATAAACTAGTTTCCTGTGAAGTACCAGGTGGTTAAAGATCAGAAAGATGTTAAGACAAGGAAGTTAATTATTAATTTCCTATATTATTTATTAACTAATTCCTTGTTACAGCTTTGCAATACACAGTGCATAACTTCATGTTTATTCTTCATATCTCTGAACACATACCCAGAAGGCAACATGTAAATGTCATTTCTGAAAGAAGAGTCAGAGACTTCACAGGGTCTAGGTTACACTGGCAAAAAGAAAAATCATCCCTGTAAAGCAGTGTTCAGCAGCAGGGTTTCACAGCGGAATAGCAACCACTTGGCAGTTTGTATTCACAGGGCTAAGGTATTCCTCATACCAGTCTACAAGTTATGATTGCACATTCAGGATGTCTTGCTCTCATTTTCTGGAATGGCACAGGAAATTTTTTTCCAGTCTGCACTAATATTTAACACTTTTCAGTAATGTTATGATGGCTCTGTTGCTAGAAATGCCCAATAACGGTGGTTTCTACTGGAGATCAGCTGTTCTTACACAGTTGTGAAGAAATCAACATTGCTATCAGTATTTGAAACTCATAGCACACCCATTTCTCCAGTGAAGTCATACATTATCGTTTAAAACATCAATACTGATTCAACATTAGTTGGGGGGGGGGTTAACTTCATCATGAATAGGGCTCAGCCCATTACATGGGAATGACTTATGCAAAATATGGAATCGAATCAAATAAATTGCCAAACTCAGAGGACAGAGATGGAAAAAGTCAGACTAACATGTAAGGGGTAAACTTCTTTCCAATACACAACTTAATAATTTAATTACCAGCACCAAAATGTTAAACAAGAATCATACAAGATAACAAATTTTCTTGGATATTGTTTGGTACTATGTTTCCGTAACGTGGTTAGAGAAACTTCATTCTTCAGCAAGTGTTTTCAATGGTAATTTTTAGCATTAGTTAAAATGAAACAATACACATATGCTGTCAAAAGCCAAAAAGGAATTAAGTGAATAGATGGAGAAGACAAAAATTGGAAACATTTCTGTCTAAATTCCTAAAACATTTCATATTCTGTTACTGAAAGTAAATTTAAAATGGGAAAATGGTGAAGTTATTGTAAAAAGAACTGCATTTTCACATTAAATCACAGCAGAAGAAGAGCAGACATTTGCCTAATGTTGCAAAGAGCCAGAGAACAACATCCTTCACCCTAGAAACATTCAGCCATTAGCTGGAGATCTCAGTCACCAAGCAGAGTAATTGTCTCAGCGTTTCGCTGGGATCTTCTCAGTCACAGTAACAAAGAAAATCTCTTCCACTCTGTTTTGGGGAAGAAGTGAGGAAAACTATCCTTCTACAGGGAGATAAGAGAATGCTAAGAGGAAGTGGTAAGGTGTCTTCAAGAAAGAGATGCTTCAGTAACTCAAGAAATTTGGGGACAGTAAATGTAAAGGAAGATATGGAAGGAAAATGGACAGGAGAAAGTGGGAAGAGGGAATCAGAAGTTAATGTCCCACAGGAAGACTGGACCAACTGCTGGAAGGCTAGTGGGGAGGTGGCATCTGACTCTCTTCTCACAGTCTTTCCCTTCACTTTCCAGCCTCTTCCCCCACCCAGCCAAGCACTGCCATGGAACCGAACTTTGTTCCTTTTTAAATATGGACACACACACACAAAAAAAATCCGGCCAACTTCAAGGCAGCAAATTTCAAATTTGGCTTCACCTTGAAGAAGCCCTGTGCGAGCTTTTAATGGAGACGTGCATCTTACCTCAAAAATTCCAAGTGATACATTTAAGAAATAGTTTTCATTTCACATTCTTACAAATTTCATACTTGAATGATAAAAAGAGTCTTAGCAGAAAAAGGCCTGCTTATGCTTTCCACTCAATAGGCTGTAAAGGTAAAACGTATAGTTTACCCGAGAAAGTCACAACACTGCACAAAAAGAGGGGGATGGGCTAAGTGCTCTGGAGTGGATTTCAAGTAACAAGTGAAAGCATTTTCTGAATTATCAGTTATCTCTGAAAACAGAAAGCCCCAAGCAAACACACCCATTTTTCAAAGGGGAAGGAGAACCAAGAGAATTACAGGTCATTAAGTTCAACGTCCATACTGAATATAAGAAAACAGTATTACAGTCCATTTCAAAACAATGTAGGATAATAAGGAAATTAAAATTAATCATATCAAACCTCACATTTCTCTCTCTGTCAGGCTGAAGGGCATGCAGATAGGCAAAAAGAAATAGCTTTGATACACTTCAGTTTATGGCTTCTGAGTAAGCCTTCAGGAGCTGCAGTTAAGTTCCCTAGTAAATCAGGGAAACAGAGTCTGGCTGAAATTTCTTTTATATGGCTGCATAACTATCTGAAAAAGCTATTCAGAGAGGGTTGGGTTTTTTTCTTTCCATCAAACTGGAAGAATATAGACCAGTAAGCTCTTTCAAAGGTCTATGTATACTAAGTTCAGTACTTAGTATTTGAACCTTAACAACTGGAACAGTGAAATAAAAAAGCGTGTTTCTCAAATTGGCTGATGACACTGAACTTGCAGAGGTTGAAACTCATTTGCAGGTAACAACTGTCATTTACAGTAATCTTCATAATTAGTCTAGAGGTGGTCTAATGATGATGAAACTCAGGAAAAATGTTCAAAGCATGACAGCAATACAAATGGAAAATTAGCACTAACATATTAAGCCCCTCTCAAGAATCTGTGAGATTAAAACTTGGACAATAACACCATTATTTCAAAAGGAAAAGAAATATAATTCTGGGACACATTAGCATAAGACATGAAACTTCATTGTTTTCTTTTATTCCTTGCTGTTGGACACTGAATACAGTTTATCCACTGCTCTTCAAGAAAAATACAGCAAATTAGAAAGTTTTAGAACAAGAAAACTGTCAGATGGTTTTAAAACCATAGCTTTTGTGACAAGCTATGTCACACACACACACAAAATATCTTGTTTATTTAGGTAGGAAATGAGGAGAATTAAGATAGAGAGGTGAATCAAACATAAAACATCAGAAAATAGCTGGCATTCAATGATCTTCCGTGTCTATTGAGGAGGACAAGTAGACAACAGCTTGAAGAACAACAGGCCTAGCTTCGACAAAAACAATGTAGAGCTCTCCTTTCTCCACCCTCCAACAGTGACAGTTAAACACTAGAACAAGTCATGTAGGGAAGCTAAGGAATTTTATTTAAGAACAAGGTATGCAAATATTTCAGCAATGGCCTGGGGATCCCTGGTGGCTTTTAACAGGAGAGGCAGACACCCTAACAACCTTCCAGATTTCTGGTTATGTGCCAGAACATCCTGAGCTTTACCCAGAGGGTGTGGAAGTGTCATCCACGACCCGGTCAAGGCAACTTGACTGAACAATAGATTCTCTTCTCTTTACTTACATTTACAAATAAGTATTTAAGCAAGGAAGTAGTTGGTTTAAAAATGTAATTATAAAAATGAGTATCAGTCAAAATTTCTTCAAATGCCTTTAGAAAACCTGTCTTTCTCTTGCAGGACTACTTTAAATTAGGCCAAAAAAAAAAAAAAAAAAAAAAAAGCGACGTGAATGAGGAAATGTAATTCCTCCTGCAGATTCTCTATTTCCACCCCCTCTTTAGAATCTTTCTTTCTCTACATATATACACTTTAATATATGTACATAAATATATATGTATACATACATACCTCCACACCAAGTTAGCTCTTAAGACATACATTCTTAAGATGCATTTCAAAACAGCTACAAGGCAATGGCAAGAAATAGGAGGTCCTTGGTAAATCTATCCTCCAAAGCACAGCTCCATTCAGCTTGCGATATAGTTTACATGTCAAGACAGCCTGGCAGCAAACTTTCTTCAGCTGCTTTTGCAAATATTTTTCACCATCCTTACATGCGTTTATCTGGATGCATTAAGTTTGTAAGATTTGTGTCCTGCTTAGTGACTCATCATCTTTCTTTTCATCTTTTCTCAGGGATAATACCAAACAAAACATTCTGCCAATTCATTTATGTATTTGTATGTTCAGAAGGCATATTTCAAGATATTGACACTATTAGTCTTGAGCACACAACCACCACCACAAATGTGCAAAGAAACTACCAGCCTTTGAGAATCAGGCTGCAACTCACATAGATTTTAAGCACCTCTGAAACATGCATCACTTAAGTCACTGAGGGTCTGAATACAGATGTAGATAAAAGCACACAAGTCTGAATTCTTTTGGTCAGAAAGGGTGCAACAGAATTGCCAAAACTCAGTCATCTTAATTCATACAGAGATTTTCCACAGCAAAGATTTTTTCAACTTTGTCTTGGCTCTCCTTAGTTTTGAGCATTTGCCCTAACATTTGTTTAGAAAGAAGGCCAAACCAGCAGTACTTTTCATGTTTTAATTACACAGAGTGCTCGCTGGATGTGATTCCCTCTTTTCCTGTGTACCTTTTACAGTGTAAACAAGGGCAACAGGCTGGCTGTTGTTATCCTTCCAAGAACAAATTCCTGTTTGCAGCCAGTATGGCTCAGTTTCACAGAAATCCAAATCAATTCTCTGGTACTGAGGTAATCAACAGCAACTTGATTTTTCCTTTAAAACTAAAGCCTTCCAAAAATACAGCTAATTTCTGCCCACTTAATAC